GTCAGACGGATCTTGGCTAAGAGCAGAGAATACCAGAAAGATGTTTACCCGTGTTTTATTAACTATGTAAAGGCATTCGACTGTGTGGACTATAATATATTATGGATAACACTGAGATGAATGGAAATTTCAGAACACTTTACCGTGCTCATGCAGAACCTGTCAACAGACCAAGAGGCAGTCATTTGAACAGACCAGGGGGATACTGTGTGGTTTAAAATCAGAAAAGGTCTGTGTCACCATAATTAATCTGCATGCTGAGCAAATAATCTGAGAAGCTGGACTATATGAAGATAAAAGTAGCATCAGGATTGGAGGAAGGCTAATTAACAATCTGTGACATGCAGATGACACAACCACCTTGCTTGCTAAAAGTGAAGAGGACCTGATGCACTTACTGATGAAAATTAGACTACAGCCTTCAGTAGGGATTACACCTCAACATAAAAAAAACAAAAACCCTCACAACAGAACCAATTACATCATGATAAATGGAGAAAAGATTGAAGTTGTCAACTATTTCCTTTTACTTGGATCCACAATCAATGCCCATGGAAGCAGCAGTCAAGAAATCAAATGAAATTTTGCACTGGGCAAATCTGCTGCAAAAGACTTCTTTATTCAAAACCAAAGATGTCACTTTAAGGACTAAGGTGTGCCTTACCCAAGCCATGATATTTTCAATCGCCTCGTATGCATGTGAAAGCTGGACAATGAATAAGGAAGACCAAACAACTGATGCCTTTGAATTGTGGTGTTGGTGAAGCATATTGAATATAACATGGACTGCCAGAATAACAAACAAATCTGTCTTGGAAGAAGTACAGCCAGAATGCTCCTTAGAAGCCAGGATGGCAAGACTTGGTCTCACTTACTTTGGACATGTTATCAGAAGGGACCAGTCCCTGAGAAGGACATCATGCTTGGTAAAGTAGAGGGTCAGCAAAAAAGTGGAAGACCCTTAAATGTGATGGACTGACAGAGGCTGCAACAATGGGCTGAAACACTGCAACGATTGTGAGGATTGCGCAGGACCGGGCAGCATTTTGTTCTGTTGTACATGAAGTCGCTGAGTCGGAACCAACTGAATGGCACCTAATAACATTATGGTTATGTGGGAGAATGCCCTCTTTATAAAAAATAAACACTAAAGTATTTGGGTTGTAAGAAATAAACATTTTCGGGTTGTGGGGCATCAGGTTGGCAACTTCTCCAAAGGTTTAGGAAAAAAATTTGTACTATACTTCCAACATTTCTATAACTGATTGTTTCAAATAAAAAATTAAATCCAATTTAAAAAAAAATTAACATGCTCTGCACTAAAGCAGGACGTTTTGATCCAACTACTTTGTTGCAGGGGATATTCTGATTTGGAGGCTTGGACAGGGACATGGTTGTTTTGATTTGGCCATGGCTCCAGTTCAAAAATTTTTATGAATTAAACTATAAAATACTCACGAAAGACAGAAAAAGTAGACTTGAACAAATAGTAAGATATCTTTTGTTCTTGGTTAGGACCTTATTTCACAATTTTCATTGTAGTCGATAACTGTGATGCCACCAAGTATCAGTACATCACAACTGGTATTATAAATAATAGTCACCTATGTCTGCAAATGATTTATGAAAAAGTTGGATCTCTTAAAAATTAAGTTAAAATGTAACGGACAAGTGTTTTAGCATACAATTTAGCATCAAATGCATTTTACATTATAACTTTTTATGCTGTTAAGAAAATGGTCAAAATAGGTTGATTTTGATTAGGAAATCTTAACACTCAAGGTCTCATAAAGTACTTTTGAATATTAGGCTGGCATGTCTACTTGGCAATTTGAAAACAAGCATCATAAAAAATATTCCAAGTACCACATTTTTTTTTACTGGGGGGAAGCATAGAAACAAAAAACCCACTACCAACCACAAACCCCTCTCTTCATATGCCTTATCAATATTTTGTGAGAACTTTCTGAAAAATATATTCTTGACTTACTATGTGATGAGCTTTTCCTCTATAGAAATGTCAAAATCTACATGAACAATAGAGAATGTCTTTTAATTATCCCATGTTGTTTCCAAGTTTTCTGGGGATATTGTTAGCAACAAAGTAAGCAAATTCCGTGTTACCTTTGAAGCTAAGACAATCTTTTCCATATTTGCCATTGTGATTGTGACTGACAAAAGGATGAATACACCACCTAAAATTTGAAATAAGGTTACCCTCTAATTCAGCCATGTAGCACTCGCAAATAGGTGGTTGAGAAGACATAGCAACACCCTAGATGTATCAAAGTGATTTGAATGTCTTAGAAAACCAATGATTAGAACCCTTAAATCTAATCAATTTGATTGTCTAACTGAAAATGTCGTAAGAGGGAGTCATCACGAAGCCTAGAAAAAGATACAGAACTCATCACTGTGGCTTTAATGTTGTACACAGGCATCTCTTAGCAGAAAGGCATCAGACTATGGCTTGACTGTATTAGGTAGTATACTTGTAACTACTCATTTTGCTTCTAACTTGAACCAATCTTCTGATTTTACTTTGCTTTCATGAGAATTAGTCTGAAGGGAAAGAATGCACTCATTTAAAAAAACACAAGTATTCAGATCCCCTCCAAAGTTATGTTGTGTGCCACGGAGTTGATTCCAACTCCAGAACCACCCCACAGGGTTTCCTAGGCTGTAATGTTTAAGAGAGTTTGCCAGGTGGAGTAGGTAGTGGCTTTGAACCACTAATCTTTCGGTTAGCAGCCTGGCGCTTAATCACTGCACCACTAAAGTTATATACTCACTGTAAATAACCACACTGGGACCGTACTTTACAGCAAAAGAGTTTAAGAAATCCATGTCACTCACTTGTGAACCATTATTTTGAATGGAGAGAAGAGTGGACTCAAAGCTGTGAACAAGATACACTACCTATGCAACTTAGTGTATGCGTTGAAACGGAGAAAAGTAAAGATCCTAGGTTGGAAAAGCAGTTTCCAACTAGCCATTATACATCTGGTGGATATGATTTACCTTCATGTCACGCAAGTACTGAATTACAACTACTAACATATAAAGCTAATGTCTGCAAATACTATCTGCAACATTATTTTGGAATACTGTACTGTTTTACAGTGTGGAAACTTTGCAGACACAGCTTCTGAAGTGTTTCAAAACCAAAGACTGCTCCTTTAAAACCTCCAATTTGAACCATTTTGTATTACAATTTCGAGATGTTATATACTTCTGTCTTCCTAAAGCATTCAAGAAATATAACCATTTTTCATCATAACTCAGAAACTGTCTCACTGAACCATGAGCTCCTAAAAGGGTAGGTATATGGTCATATAAAATACAAAATACAGGTAGTCCCCAACTTATGACAGGGTTCCATTCTGACAACTTTGTCATTAAGTGGGTTCTGATGGTTTTAACATAAGTCAAATATTTCCTTTTTTTCTGCTCGTTTTATTGCCTTTTGTTATCAGTATCTTTATAAATCTGATCTGTTCTGGGCGGCTGGAAATACATATAAACTTACAGATACGACATCAGCAAATTACTCACTGCAACATTGTATGCAGTACGTATTACTAACAAAATGTTCAAAAAAAAAAAAAAAAAACTGTCGTTTAATACGGTTCGTCACAACTTATTCACCCGTAGGTCAGGGACTACTGACAAGCCACAAGGCAGAGAGCAGGGTTTCACAGCATTTCAAATCTTGAGTTACAAAAGAGAGAGCCAAAGTGAAAGGCAGCCCAGGCACAGAAGCATCCTAAGGCTTCAAGCAGGGAGGGCTGTCAATGTCACAAAGCCAAGGTTCAGCCACTGAAGAGCCTAATACACCAGGCTCAAGAGTGGGGATTTATTTGATCATAAAGGCAACAGAGCTGTTTCTAGCATGGTAATAAGATGACAAAGTGTACAATTTAGAAAGCTAACTCGGGCAGTAGTATAGAGAACGGAATAGAGGCTAAAACTAGAACATTTTCTCAAAAGTGCATTTGAATTGATGAATACTTGCAGATGTTCTGGGTCCTTGCCCAGTTCCAAGTCCAAACTCTGGAAGGTAGAAGCCCTAAATTTTCATTTTTAAGTACTTTGGGTGATAAGGTATTAGACTGGGAGATGAAATCACAATCATCAACTACCATAATTATCAACATTAACAGATCTTTCTCAAATAAGGTTTAAAACTAATCCTCTTTTTGACACTTCATAGAAAAATTATACCAAAGACCAAATATTAGCCACTTTTCTCTCCAACAAATAGACTGACTAGCTGTTAACTGGGGTTGAATTGAAGATAATCATCTTCTAACCTAGAAACTTCAATGGTCACTGTTGTTAGCTGCCATCGAGCTGATTCCAACTCATGGTCGACTGGCGTGATTTCAAAGGTTGATAGGCATCTGTTTTGTACAGGAAATGTTAAGATCATTCAATAAATATACCTTGGGGTTCCAGAATTCTATGTGGAAATCCAAATTTATGAAACTCAAGACGAACTGACTTGTGCCTCTTTTGCATAAAACCAAGATACCCTTTAAACGTTAATAGTACATTTTTCCTGAAAGAGATGCTATACCAGCTAATTTCAGCTAAGCACCATAAGATATTACCTGTTTTCAAATGCCCATATAAAGAGAATTAATGAAAAAGTATAACATCATGTGCACGGTTTAAGGAATTTTTATTAAAGCAAGAATCTTATAATCCAAATTACGTTTCCTTGCTCAGTTATCAATTCCGTCATCTAAAACAGAAGTGACATTCTGAGCTATTCCACAGTAAAGAATTACAAAATTAAAGAAAGGAATGCTTTAAATTTTTGTACTTTGCTGAAAATTCTTTTTCCCAGGGTCTATAAAACATTAATTTGTTTTTATATTTTACTATTTTTTTTTTCATTTTTTTTTGTTTTTAAATGAATAAGTAATCTAGGACTAGCATTGTTTGCTAGACCTGGCATTTGCTCGGTACATAAGGTTCAAAGTTTCCTTTCCTTTTTTTTTTTATTTTATATTTTGCAATGTTTTTTTTCCACAATATTTAAGTTTTTCGATGTTTAGGTATTTTTCTTCGGTGAAGCACGAGTTTCTTTTCGTGGTCCCTGATCATCTGTAAATCTAAAAAAAATAAAAAAATAAAAAAAATTTAAGTTTTTCTACTAATCTCCCATGCTAGAGGTACCATTTCCCAAACTGTCAAACAACTCCGGGAAACACTGCATATTATAGTTCCCCTCTTAGAGATTCAAGATATATAAAAACTCTAGACTAGTTAGTTATCTCTTTTGCCACCAAACACAACAGCTAGAGGAACAGTTTGGGAAATGCTGCCACAAGTTAAGTTCAAAGCCAAAGGTTTGAAAACTTTATGCTAACGGCGGTCAACTATCCTGTACGTATTTTTCTGAATGTTAGATCTGGGAAAAATCTGAACATCAAAAATCAAGCCTGACTGCTTGAAGATAATACTGGCACGTGTGAGTAGTAATTTAAAGCTCTCGGTCAATTCAGTCTGCTGCCTGTTTTTGTAAATAAAGTTTTATTGGAATACAGCCACACCCTTCCGTTTACACACTGTCTATGGCTACTTTTACACTATAATGGAAGAGTAGAGTAGTTGCAACAGGTGCAATTTCTTTTAATTTCCTCTTTATTTCTACTTCTCTCTAAAAAATTGTCCCTGGGTGGTACAAATGGTTAACATGCTTGGCTGCTAACCAGAGGGCTGGAGGTTCAAGTCCACCCAGAGGCACCTTGAAAGAAAGGCATGGAGATCTACTTCCGAAAAATCAGTCATTGAAAATCCTGTCAACACAGTTCTACTCTGATGCACATGGGGTCGCCATGAATCAGAATCAACTTGATGGCAACTGATTACTAGTTGTATTTCTATTTCTCTTTTAAAAATTAGCAGTATTTTTAAATTAGTGATAAAATGAATTTCTGCTAGGTATGTTATAAAATATTATAAAAGATTAGAAAATAAGTTTAAAATATACCACAAGGGGGAAAACTCACTTTAAACAGTTGGAACACCCGTGGCACTGTTAACTGCTTTCTGGGCAGCCTCTTTAGCTTGGTGGGCTTGTAGTACAGCTACTGCTTCATCAACCTAAAAAATTACGGGGGGGAAGACCCAAACCAGCTCAGAAAAAGAATAACTAGAAATAAATACTTTCTGACAGGCAACAAATTCCTTTCCTCAAATTAAAGTGGGAACAATTATCAAAAACACATTCCAACCACTGGTATAGCCATGCCCCTTTGGGTTTTATTTCACCACTGTTCTAGAATTCAGAACCCTCTTGCAAATTAACATTCTGGCGACTTCTCATTTAAAAATAAAAAAAAGCACACATCTCTATCTTTCTGTAATAGAGAAAGCAGCAGCATAGTAAAAGAGCATGGACGCTGGAGCTAGATTACCTGGGTCTGAATCCAGGCTCTGACAATCACTAGCTGTGTGAGCACTGGGCAAATTACTCAAGCTCTCTATGCTCCACTTTCTTCTTTATATAAATGGAGTAAGACCACCATACAGCTGTTATGAGGATGTACAATTAAGTTAATATTTATAAAGCTCTTAAAACTTTGCAATGCTTGTAGAAAGCACTATGTAAATGTTCTATAATATTAAGTTCCTAAAAAAAAAAAGCCCTGAAATCAGAGGCAGTTAGATAAATGATAAATTTAAATTACCTTAGAACGAAGAGACTCTGGAGACTCAAGCATATGAAGAAGTTCTGAATTATCAATCTCCAACAACATGCCAGTGATTTTACCAGCAAGAGTAGGGTGCATGGCTTGAATAAGAGGAAACAGCCGTTCACCTAGGAACAAAAACAGTCAAAAACTCCGATCAAAAAAGAATTAATGGCACTTAACACATTAAACTGGGGTTTAAGATCCTATCCTATATATAACATATATATGCTGAAACAATCCACCAAGTCAACATGTTTTTCTCAGAAAACTGGTTATAAAACAGAGTTAAGATCCCCTACAAGGTAATTATTTTTTGGCATAATCAATTTGCCAAAATGAAATTAAGCAATGTTACTATTAGCTTGTTAAATCTGTGCTCAGTCTAAGCCACAGCTGTCTTCTCATTTGTTTCAAATTTCCTCTTCCAAAAATGGGGTGGGGTTCATGCTCTATCCATCCTCCTCAACAATTTATTAACTTTTCAACCTTTTAATCACAGTTGTTGTTAGGTAGCACTGAGTTAATTTTGACTCATAGTGACCCTAAGTGACAGAGCAGAACCGCCTCATAGGGTTTTCTAGGCTGTAATCTTTATGGGAGTAAATCGCCAGGTTTTTCTCCCATGGAAGGGCTAGGTGGGCTTGAACTGCCAACCTCTCAGTTAGCAGCTGAGCACTTAACCACTGCACCACCAGGGCAGACCAATTATACCACTCATGCCAACTGAGACCAATCCCACTGCCCTAGCTATCATTATTAGGCTGCAAAGGGTGTATACGTAATTTTTCTGGTCTGTTTGTAACTAACTAGGTGGGACTTAGCTACTCACCCAACATTTGCTTTTGCTCTTGAGGAGGGGCAGATGCCAACATGGAAGCAGTCAAAGGTTCCTGACCTTGTACATGAACAGCAGGCTAGATATAAAATAGGAAAATAGGAAAATTCATAAGCTTAAACTACAGGAGTAATAGCAAGGACAGATACCAAGGGAAAATCACTGAAGTGATAGACTGTGATAAACATGAACAGAAGTTGACTAATTCCTCCAGTAGTTATTAACACCTATATGCTCAAGTAGCAATACCCACATTGGCAATCATTTCCATTTTCTTTTTTACCTGGAGTATTTTTTGGAACCATACTTCTATAAGATCAATATCAGTTTTGGTCCCAGGGTCAAAGAAAACAGGTAAGGCATATCTCCTAGCCAAACTGAACTTTATTTCATCCTTATAACTGTCAAACAAAACTCTCAAACCACACAAATAATTCAGGTTGGAGGCTGCTGGCTGCTTGTCTAACTTCTATAGAATAAAACATGTTTAAGACACTTTTACATACTATAAATTAATGGGACATCAAGTAGCTAAGATATTTTCACAGTAACTTAAGCTCTCACATCATACCTTCAATTTATTTGATTTCAACCAAAGACCGTCATTTTTATAAAGAAATCATTAAATCCATACCTGCTGCATGGTGACTTGTGGCTGTGCATTAAGATGTTGTTGAGGATTGCGAACTCCTGCAGCATATTTATACTGGGGAACGGTGCGGACAGCAGGAGTAGCTGCAGCAGCAGCAGCTGCAGGACGGGGACCCATGGTCTGTGTTGATGTGTTAGCTGCAAAATAAAAACACATTTTTGCATTTTCACGCTGCTATTTCAAACTGGAGATCAATTTTTACAGGAAGGGTTAAGACTCACCAACACGTTGTGTTGACATGACTCGTGGAACCTGTGAAGAAGCTGGTCTCATAGTACTAAATGGTGGTCTAGGAGCAGCTGGGCGGATAGCACCGGGCATATTTTGGAATGCTGTATTTGAAGAATACAAACATACATTAACTGGGTTATGGTAACTGACTCAGTATTTATGCTGCCCTTTTAGAGCCATGATTTGCAGAAAAGTCTAAAAGTGGCCAAGCATACAGTCGATTCTCCTTATTTGCAGATTCCTTATCTTCAGATTTGCCTACTCACTAAAATTTATCAATATTTGCAGCACTTCTGTAGTCACTCATGCATGTGCGCAGAACAGAAAATCTGAGTTGCCTGATACGCACATTCCCAGCTGAGGTCAAACAAGGCAACACTGCCTTCTTGTTTCAGTTCCATACTAAAAACAAGTGTCTTTTTGCAGTCTACTTAGCGTCATGCTTTCTCCATTTCTGTGTTGTTATTGATTTTGCTGTTTAAAATGACCCCCAACCATAGTACTAAACAGTACTGTCTCCCAAGTGCGAGAAGGCTATGATGTACCTTACAGAGAAAATACATGCTGTTAGATAAACTCCACTGAGGCATGAGTTATAGTTAATAAGCCAACAATATACATTAAGCAAGGTATATGTTAAACAAGGTGTCTTTAAACAGAAACACACATAAAACAAGGTTAAGTATTGACTGACTGACAAAAATGTGACCAGATGCTCACAGGAACCTAACTCTCTATTTTCCCTAGGAGCAATTATCCTGTATTCACTAATTCAGGGCTCACCGTGACTTTACAGAACTTTACTATAGATAATGAAATCAATTTTTTAAAAAGCTAAGTCTCATTTTAGCATCAGTAAATAAAAACATGAATTCCTGTAAGAACAATACTTATTAATATCTGAAATCAGACTACATGAACACATTCCCAAAGTGCTCCTCCAATAATACAGCATTGGTCTGCAGGGCAAAGCATAAGATGCCAAGACTGATCTTCACTCATGATTAGATGGAACAACATCTTCTGAAACATTTACCTAAACAAATGTGAAATTAAGAGTTGGATCCATTCCCAAAAATTTCATAAAGGAAAATCAAATTAGCAGACATTTCTATCTCAGTAAGACAGGAATGGCAAAGTGTTTTATAAGTGATTTAAAGAAAATGCTGGAACACAATAACGAACACCCAAAGCTATAAATCAAGGAAAGCAATAGTTAATATACTACGAAAATAGAACATTATCAACTAATTTGCTTCATGTCTATTTTTAACTCCAATAATCCACAACCTCAATAAAAGAAAAATAAAGGCTTACGATGAGGTCTGGCACCCTGAGCAGTCCAGCGAGGACTTGGTCTTAATTGAGCAATTTGGCTAGGAGGATAGTATGCAGCACGGTTCTGAGTCTGCAGAAAGAAATCAAACATATCAGCTAAAGAAAAAAAGCAAATAATGTAACTAATTATATACTCTCAAAACATCTACCAGGTATTCACATCAATCATTAATTCATATGTCTCTTAGTGTTACGATTATTTGCGGGCACAAAGAACTAAAAATAACCAAATATGAAAACTTAAAAAGAACATAAAGTTCTTGTTCTCTAAAACCTACCTGTGGGATAGCTGCCATGAAGTAACCTGAAGGAGGTGCTGGCTGGTAGGGGTTGATTACAGGGTTGGGCACAGCTCTTACACTTGCCATTCTCTGCATATACTGGTTAGTGAGGTGAGCCTGGCGCTCTTCTTTGCGCTGAGCTAAAGCTACATACAATGGCTTGGTGGCCACAATTCTACCATTCATTTCTGTAACTGCTTTAGTGGCTTCTTCTGGGGAGGAGAAACATACAAAACCAAACCCTTTGCTGCGACCACCCTCCATCATAACCTATTGAAAGAAAAAAAATAATAAACACGGTTAATGCAATGGTAGAATGGGGCACAAAAAGGAGAGCATTACCAGTTAGCCAATTCTAGTCACTGAATTATATGAATAAACCCTGTTAAAAAGCTTTCATTATCTTGTATTCCCCCCCCTCTTTAATTCACAATTTTTCCTAAGTACACAAACATCAGGGGGAAGCCACACCAATGCACTGTCCTAGCCAAGTAGGAGAGAGTTGAAGGAAGTAAAGGGATGGAGGCACATCGGCAACTTAGGTTTTCAATATTAAAATGTAAGTATCTAAACACATTAACGGCCTACTAAGTTGACTTTCTGACATCACTAACTAGAAACATCCACAATTAAAATGTGATTATCCTACCAAGTAAAATTGATATTTTACTATTCTTTTGAGACAAAAGTAATTAAATCTTATAATTCAAGATCCGCTTTTTAAAATAAAACTTTCACCTTCAAGACCAGAGGTATCATAAATATTGAGGTATAAGCACCTCAGGAAGAAGCTTCTAAAATGACTCCAAGAACTTTTAAAAACGTAATGAAGGGATACAAAGATGCCAGACTGGCCCTATAATACACATGTAATATTCGTATCACAACTAAAAATCAAACTGCCAGGCAGATTTTGAAGCTGAACATAAAGATATAAAAATACAGAGAAAGTCTTTCCCAACGTTGTGACAGACCAGGAGAAAATATCTGCAATATAACACAAAGGGTTGACTTGAAAACGTTCCCTAAATTTATAGGAAAACAAATAACCCAATATAAAAATATGTAAAGATTAAGCACAGGCAAGCTAGTTAAATACATGAAATGCACAGCACTACATTGAAAAAAAATTATTTTTTTAAAAAGATGAGACACCACTTCCTACTGGGAAATTTGTTCAGTGTTTTTGGACATTTTGGCCATTATCAATTTTAAATACACATACTCCATAACCGGCAATTACAATTCTAGAAATCTAGAAATCTTGGCAATCATGTGCAAAGATCTACGTGTATAAGGATGTTTATTAGAGCGATGTCTCTAACAGCAGAAACTTGCAAAACAACCCAAATGTTTTCTTTCATCAATACTAGTATGGTAAATTATGGTACATCTAATATCATGAACATTTGGTCCTTAAGAAATGAGAAAATACATGAAATAAACATATATCCAGATCTACTATCAACTGAAAAGGCAAACAACAGAATATGCATATATGATCCCATTTTCTAGAAACTGTTTATCTGGGAAGGATACTCAAATTGCAACTGCTCCTGGTGGAGACTGGAAATGAAGGTCACCTTTCACACCGCCATCTTCTTTAATAAATTTGTTTTTCTAGCCAAGTGTCACTGCTATAACCGCTTCCTCCAGAATAAATTCTTGACAACGTTTTAACCTCCCTACCAACAGATTTATGATCTACAAAGGACTTTTAAAAACAGGATGTGATATTCTGCTTTGAAAAGCATACATGCTTCCCACATTTGAAATAAACCGATTCATAATTTTCAAGGCACATACTAAGGATAAAGACATTTAGGAATAAATTCTATCATACTCCAGGCACACAAAGCAGCCCTGGTAATGCAGTGGTTAAGCACTCAGCAGTTAACAGAAAGAGTTGGTGGTTCGAACCCACCAGCCATGGGTTTATTGGGCCAGGCACACATTACAGATGCTTCCTTTGCTCAATGGGGATGCCAGAAAAAGCTGAGCAGAAAGACTGCCCATGAAGTCACTCCAAAGCATCAAGCTTTAACCTCTCCTGTGTTCTTCTGAGAGGTCCCTCCCCACAAAATACATACACAAAACTTTGCATACAGGATTCTTCGACAACGAGCACCAAATCAAGTACATCTACAGTAGGATTTCTTAGATCAAAACTGCAGAATTTAGACTAGAAGTCTAGTGTTGCATTACTCAATTTTTGATCTCAAGAAAAAGAAAAATATCTGTTTCTTTACTGCTAGGGGTGTCTTAAAGTTTGACTACACAGAATGAGTTGTGTAAACGAAGGTATAGATCAAATTATAATCACAATTATAGTTCCCTAAAAAGCTGCCTTCTTTAACCAGTAAAATAAACTAGGTTAATTAAGAATGTGATACACTGCATTATGATCATCAGATAAAACCTTCCTTGGGACAGAATTCAGAACCTGCCATCTGTAAAATTAAACCACTGAGCTACCACAGGCACTTGAAAGTTGAATTTAAGTTTTAAAAGTAATGAAGCAAAAACTTGATTTCCAGAAAAATGCTTGAAAGATGCAATGTTTTTCTGGAAGAAGAAAAAAAAAATGCACCATACGTTTCAAAACCATGTGCTTTACCTTTGCACTAGTGATTGTACCAAATGGAGAAAACTCTTTGCGGAGACGTTCATCGTCAATGCCATCATCAAGATTTTTCACATATAAGTTAACACCCTAAAAGGAAGAAAAGAAAGCTGTAGAAAAAGGAGAAAAAAAACTCACAGTGGCACTTAAGCACACTTCCTATTATTTATCCCATGTTTCTTCTCCTTTCCCATTTCAAACTCTCCAGTTACCTGGCAATAACTGCAATGAATGTAAAATAGGTTTCCTCATCCCTGTCTTATTTTGCTTGGTCAATTAAAAACGAACCTGGTATCTGGTGATCCTATCTTGCTTCATCTGTTCAAATTTGCGCTTAAGTTCTGTCTGCCGTTCCACTTTTTTCTGAGCTCGACCAACATAAATTTGTTTCCCATTGAGCTCCTTTCCATTCATCTCATCCACAGCCTTAAAGAAGTCCAAAAATTAAATCATTTATTTGCAATATTTGTTCACTTTTTTAACAATAAAGAAGACTCATTGAGTTACAAAAGGTTAAGGACAGACCCATCCCAAACACTAAACGTCAAGGTTTTGAGAAAATACAGGTTACCAATTTATACTTCCCAAAATAAAATACACAAAATGCAAATAATTTAAAACGATACAAGAACATATAAAAAACCATTAGTATGCTTCTTTATTTCAATACAAGAGCAACTAATTTTAACCCCCACCTTTTTACTACAGAATACAGAAAAGCACAAAAACCGCCTTTAATTAGTGTATTTAAGTCTTACTTTCTGTGCATCTTCATGCCTCTCAAAGCTCACAAATCCAAAACCTTTGGATTTTCCACCTTCATCAGTCATTACTTTCACACTTAAGGCAGGTCCTATAAAAACATTTTCAAGTGATTAAGATATTCCATACAACATTCATATTTACACTTCAAACTTAAACAAAAGCAAAACTAAGAAATATTAAAAATGAGAACTTCGAAGAAACTTTCCAAGACTCCAGAAATTGATTTCTCCTCTAACCTACCACTCCACAAACATATACTACTCTCTTCCAACACCCTTTACCTCTACTAAGCTAAGTAAATACCCTCTATTCCCTGAACGATTCTTCCTTCTATTTAAGGAGATATGTTTTAGACAGACAAGGATGAAGTTTTATTCTCAGCATTAGTACAGAAATAAATTTGTATTTTTTCAGCCAATAATTTGATTTTCTTGACATCAGAAATAAATAGGGATTTCTTAGGCCTTGGCCCACCTGATTTTCAGAGAGCAGAGAGAATACATGGATTACATCCTTTGGGAAGACATGTAGCAGAATCACCTGAAGGAAGCATGTTACTAAAGACATTATGTTCTCTCTCACCTCAAGCAGAAGGAACGATGTTAACTAAAGGTATCTCAAGTGGGCTGGGCATAAAAGTTATTATTCAGTTACAGAGAGTTTGGAAAACGTATGGGCACTTACAATTCAAAGATTAAGAAATAAGATGGATAAAATAAGCCAAAGGCGGTCACTAAAGGGAATTTAGGTAAGATGTTAGACATGATGTCACTTATTTTTCACATCTTAAATGGTTTATCCATGAGCAAAACAGTTTTTCATTCAAGGACTAGAGGGTCCAATGTGGCATGCCAGCTTGGCAATAAAAAGTATTAGATTTCCCGATACCTTATCCCTTCTAACCCATCCTAATTTATAAACTGATTTAGCGTACTTAAAAAAAAAGAGAAAGAGCAAGCTACTTCTAAGTTCAGTAAAAGGAAAGCACGCAAAGGACACAGTTAAGCAAACCATCTGCAAATGAACAATTAAAAGTTCATCTACTGATCCGTTACACCACTACCTAAAGTGAGGCTCGTTACACTTCGTTAAGTTCAAGTTTAATAAAGTGAATCTGAAATGGAAGGAAAGGTATTTAAGAATGGATTCAGGAAGCCATCCCAAAGAGTTACCATGGGAAAATCTGGATCTCTGGTTTTGTCTCTGAAAATCATCAAACTGCTTCAACATGATGCTTGAGACTGGCCAAATATCCTAAAGCTGGCCAGCCTTTTCTACCCCATAACTAAAGACCGCACTCTGACCTGAGTCAGCCGTGTCAACCGCATGCCCCAAGAAGGCGTTATAGGCACACACACCCAGCACTATATATCTTAAAAGTACAAAAACTGAGTCACACCTTACTGTGCTAATCCAATTCTGTATCAACTTTTAATCTAACCTGGATAAAATTCTATTTACATACCACTCTGTAGTATAAATGGACTGCTTAATCCAGATAACTACAAATATTTTTAAGTACCATGTAAGTCTCATCTCATTTATTTTCAGTATTAAGTATTAGCCAAAACTAACGTTGAGCAATCACTCAGAACATTCAGTGTAAAAATTTAATTCAGACACATTACCAAACTTGCCAAAGAGGTCCTTAAGGCGCTCATCATCCATGTCTTCTCCAAAATTCTTGATGTAAACATTGGTGAACTCTTTTGCCCTAGCTCCGAGTTCTGCTTCTCGTTCTTTACGAGACTTAAATCGTCCAACAAATCTAATAAAATATGTAAGGACTATAACATTAGTTCTATTTTATGAAGTTCAGATTAATTAAGCCTGATGGTTTACTTTGATTGTTACTGAGAATTTCAGAATCTCTAATAAAAAGCACACTAAAACAGAAATAGGGCCTTAATAGAAAAAATAAAAGCATGAAATACAAAGAATAAATCTCTTAACTATAACCGCAAAAAAGGAACATTTTTTTTTAACAAACTCTTTTCTCCCTTCCCTCTAGCTAACCTACTAGGCTTAAAAAGCTCACTCCTATCAATACAAATGAGTGGGAGGGCATGTGCACCATGCCAATAAAAAGACTTAAAAGCTTTCACGGTTGGGTTTTCAAAGTAGCTCCTGCACATTGTGTCTGCACTCTCCTAACACAGATACTAAAACTTCTGAATTCTGTACTAACACACAACAGAAACAAGATGCGTTTCTTTGCAGCATTATCGACAAGATGACTTTTAAAAAACTGGATCGTTTTACCCTACTATAAAATTATGTGTCATTAGGGAATACTGTAATATACCGAAAAAAGGAAAAAACTATTTCCCATAATCCCACCCAAACCACAACTGACTTTTAGTGTATGCCCTTAAGTATTTTTTTCTCTATGTGTTCAAGAACATTAATGGAGATACCTGTGGTTTTATTTCCTTATTCTCTTCTCACCCCTATCCCCCACGTATGACAGTACCTCTCCATGTTATTTGTTTTGTAAATGTTCTCAAACGGGGTATGAGAGTCCACAGTGGACGTTGTAACTTTCTGCTTTTGTAAATAATGCTCCAACTCTGTGCATGAGACTTTCTGTATTCATTCTTAGGACAGAGTTGCAAAAATCTTAGCTCAGAGAGAGTAATTTTAGGATTGTTTATACAAAGGTCAAACTGGATTCCGAAAGAGTTATGTCATTTTATACTCAAAATAGCAATAAATTAGTTCTTATTTAATCTGGACTCTGCCAGTGGGGGGCATTCTTCCCTCCATTAAAGTTTTGTTGACAGGCAAACTATGAGATATTTTCATTTATAAGTACTAACGATGCTGACGCTGACAACTTCCCTCATATAAACACATACTATTCCTAAGAATTAGCCTTTGTTAACATTAGTCATTACTGAGAAGTTGCGGCTTTTCTTATAGACCTGTACAGGTTCTTTACATATTACAAAGCGTTTTTTCAATCATGCAATTGACAAGAGAACTCAACCAGGAACACCATGTGCATAATGACTCCATGTACAGACCCTATAACACCAATGGATACAATGATTTATGAGAACCACACCTTAAGAGTGATGCAGTGGACTTTTAAGAACCACCAAACCCAATCTGCATGCTGTCACTGTAGTTAGCACAACATGAACTCACAGATCTTTGCAATATGACCTCAGAGCTGAATCTGCCCCGTTGGCATCGAGAATAAAAAGTTTAAGATTTGTCAATTCTTTGGGCATAAAAATCTGTATTTCAACAACCTGTGGCAGAAATAATTTTGTATATGGTTTTATCAGTGTCCTCATTTTAAAGTTTGCAGTTTTTAAAAGTAAGTCTATTTCAGTAAAGGTTAATCAAGAAGGCTTCTGATTTAATTAAGCTTCATCTTTATACTCCACCAATAAATGCAAGTTTCAGCAGTATGGCCAAGTAAAGAGGGTGGGCTCTGAAATCAGACCATTGATTTTGTATCCCAGCTCATCTCTCATTAAAAAAACAAAACAAAACAAACCAAACCCACTGCCATCGAGTTGATTCCAACTCACAGAAACCCTACAAGACAGAGTGGAACTGCAGGGTTTCCAAGGCTGTAAACTGTATGGAATCGAACTGCCACATCTTTCTCCCTTGGAGTGGCTGGTGGGTTCAAATCACCTATCTTTTGGTTATCAGCCGAGTGCTTTAACCATGTGCTACCAAGGCTCCCTCATCTCTCATACCAGCATGTAAACGCAAGCTAATTATTTTAACCTTTCTATGCCTCAGTTTCTTCAGCTGTAAAACGGGCTAATAATTAATCTTCTTCATAATTCCTGAGATACTAAGTTCATGTCTGGATGCCCAGTTTCTCAACTACGCATTTACTCTGAAAAAGTTTTACATCCATGTATACCAATTTTCTCCTGTCTTTTCTTTTTGGTTTCAATGTTGACCAAATCATTTTAATTCACTGTTATTTGTATTGACATGGAATGTGGAGAAAACACAACTATAGAACTATTAAAAACAGATCTGAAGTATAAATAAATATTGATACTCACACTTTACGATCATTTAGAAGCATCCCATTCATTTTTTCAATAGCTCTTTCAGCTGCTTCTTGTGTCTCAAAATGTACAAATCCATAGCCCTTGGAACCATTTTCATCACAAACCACCTAGGGGGAAAAAAAATGTATACCTGTTTTTCATTACTTGCTACTGACTTACCATTTTCCCAGTGTTCAGAGATAACCCATCAGTCACCTACCCTAGGCATTTAGGAAATAAAGATATTCCCTAACCAACAGCAATGGCTACTATTTTAAGGAATAAACTAAAGGTACCTAAAACTCTGTCAGTGTGTTTACCTGTCACATTTTTGCTTACCTTACATGAGAGGATGTTACCAAAAGCAGAAAATGTATCATACAGTGCTTTATTATCAATGGATTTGTCCAAATTTTTAATAAATATGTTGCCCACTCCACTTTTGCGAAGCGATGGATCACGCTGAGACCACATGATGCGTACTGGCTTGCCCTTTATAACATCAAAATTCATGGTGTCCAAAGCACGCTCCGCTGCAGGAAGGACATTTTCAGAGTGAATATTACTTCAAAACTTTTATTTAAGAGCATATAAGCTACAGGAGGGCTGGGCACACAGTCACACTAATTCTTCCTCTTTATCGCCAACTCCAGGATGGTTAGACCTATCAAGCACCACTCATTAGTCTGTATTTAAATTGTATAATGCAGAAAGAGTAAACAGCACAAGAAACAAAATTTCTCAAACATTAAAAGATGACAGTGCTAATAATTCATGTATTTCTGAAACAATCTCCTCCTTTAATTGCCATTAAACTTAAAAGTACCTTTTTTGTTCCTGGTCTACATAAAATAAAGATTCTCTCTTACATACAATCTGCTAACAATCAATATAAAGGACGTTAGGCAAGTCTAGATTATCCAGAATGAGAGTAGCCTATGGATTTTTAAGTATTTTAACTTCTTCCCTACTACTTGCCAAAATCTGTCATTTCATTGCTTATCACTGCCATTAGCCCATTTTGTTAATAAAAAGTCCCTGAGTTATTGGGAGGAATTTCACTGATTCATGGCACAACTTCCTATAACCATGTTAAAAAAAAAAAGGTTAACCAGCTCAGAGCAAGGTTTGAATCAAGCCTAATGTAAAGTTGGACATACTTAGCTGCAAAATGATCAGACTTTTAAAAATACCAGGTTTGCACACTCATAATTCGTTTAACCATCTCACTGTCTGACACACAAAATTTACAATTACAAAATTTTATCTAACTGATTTACTTAACTGACAACATAATAAAATTATTTTTGAATAGTGTCAGAAAAATTCAAAATCTACCCCACAATGAATTTCAGGGTCTATGAGGTAGTGAATTAAACCTGTACTTGTATCATTAAAGAAATGCTTCTTTAATGCTAAAAGTTTAATATTTAAATTCCACAGAAACTGTTATATTCCACCTTTAATATTGAACTTGAAACTAAGTAGAAAAATACAACCTTATATATATTAACTGTTAATCCCCCAAAGAGGGGAAATACATAGCCCGTTCAGTCTTGCAACACCCATTTTTTCAATTCTATGCCAGTATAACTGAAAAGTTATTGACAGGACAAATTTTCCAGCTACTTCTTTTTATAAATGAAAGTTCCAGTTTCTAGAAGACAGACTAATCAGCCATCAACTCATTATCAACTGACCACACCTACTCAGCTCCCCTGGTTTAGCTGACTTGGCTTGAGCTTCTTTTGAATGAGTCACCTCTTCCTATTAAACTGGAAACTGGTCACTTTCAGAAGCTATTGCATAAGTCCATCGATATAACAATAAATAAGCAAAAAAAAAAAAAGGAAAGACCACTGTACATACAGAAAGCAAATAAATTTATGATGGGAAAATATTATCTTCTTTTAAGCAGTGACTATACTGGGTCTACTGATACATACCAACAACATATACAGTACACTGTAACCATGACAACCCAAAGTTCCACTTTTCAAATCCTAAGAAACTTTAACAATTAGTTTTTCACATTTAAAAATGTTAAGCTTAGAAAGAACGCTTTCAAGTTATCATTTTACAATTTCTAGTATTTGTTCAAGTTTTCTCTACCAACTCTTCAGATTGGGATTACCTGCCCCCAAAGTCATCTTCCCTAGCCTTATATTTCATCTTACACTCAGTGACAAATCTTGCCCAGGAGTTAATAAGAACTGTAATATAGAGTAGTATTTAGACTTACTGCTTACAGAGCATAAAGACAGTAAAACCTGCAAGGTAGTTTTATAACTTCTGGCTTACTAAAAATCTTCAGTTTTATCAACTTCACCTTGTGAAAAGCTATTCATTAAATGTAACCTAAATTCTACTGAATGACCTTAAGTTTATATTCCATCTCTAAGGCCATTTCTACCAAAATGTAAAAAAAAAACAAACAAAAAAACATAAAATTGGGCCAGCAAATCAAGTGAATCTCACTTTTGGAAGTCATCTGATGGAGATATAAAGAAAAATTATGGCAACTCATCAGATCACAGATCTGTTTACCAAATTTTGTTTTGTGAACTGGTGTTTAATCGCAAAATAAAAATTTAACCTTGGTTGTTTTGTATGCAACCTTTCCCAGGATTTACAGACATTTTGGAGCACTTTAAAAAATAAAACAAAAAACTTGAACTGCTTGAATTCTACAGATAAATATACGGCCCAGTTCAGATTAAGGAAACAAGTAACCACTAACATTCTAGAGACAAAATTGGTGAAAATATTTTAAAGAAAAGCCCTTCGAAACCATAGGAGCAATTTCAGATGGGAAAAAAATAATGTACTGAACAAATGACGAGTACTAAAAAGCTAAGTGATTTGAATAAAAGAACTTATGGCCTTCAAAAAGGGGTCTTCCTCCACATCCTCTCCTCCCACCTGGCAGTTTACAGCATGTGAGAAATGCCTGCCAGCTCTAGGGGAAAGCCCCAAGTGCACGCCTCACTCTTCATTAACATTTTCTAGGTCCATCACCAACTGATGAGTTACTAAGAATTAAATCAGAGGCCTGAGGACGACCACCCAGCGCCAGATAACTTTATTTCAAAGGCCTGTGGCTCCCCCAGGCGACTGGGCCAATAGCAGGAACAGGCCTCGGGCCTGCGAGGTTACAGGGTTCAACACGTGGTATTTTTCGAGCACCGAAATGCACTTCCTCCCTTTCCTGGGTCGCTGGCAAGAGCCCCGGGTAGTGGGAGCGCATCCACCTACTACCAGAGAAGGGGGCTCGGAGATCGACGCCCCAGAATCCCGTGGCTACTGGCAGGAAGGCCGACGAAGGACCGAATCTCACTCACCATCCCGGCGCGTCATCACCCTAAAGTTTGAGAGCGGCTGAGGCCCAGAAAATGGTCGCAAAGGAGGAAGTGGCAGGGCGTGCTGCCGGCTCCGCAGGTTCCCGCGGGCACGCGGAACATGCCTCTGAGCGGCGCATCCGGGCCAGGGGTCCTGGAGCCCAAGGGTCTCCCCGCGAGCCCTCGGGGGTGACAAGCCCTCCAGCCCTCTCCTCCCGGGCCTGCCGGCCTAGCCCGCCCACCCGTCGGGCCCGACTCTCACCGTCCGCAGGCTGCTGGAAGTTCACATACGCGTAGCCCAAAGAGCGGCGGGTGATCATGTCCCTGCAGACCCGGATGGAGAGGATGGGCCCGGCCGGGCTGAACTTCTCGTAGAGCATCGCCTCGGTCACGTCGGGGTGTAAGTCCCCCACATAGAGCGAGGCCATGGGGTAGCTGGGGGCGCTGGGGTTCATCTCGGCACGGCTGCCCGCAGGGCCACAGGCCGCGACCTTTCCGTAAGAAGAGAGCGAGTGCTGGGGCCGGGGGCCGGAGCCGGGGGGATGGGAGCGGGGGCAAGCGCAGAAGGACAAAAATCAACCGGAATCGAAAACTACTCAACGGCCGCAGAACGGGGTCGATCCGCTGCCGCTGACTGCTGGCTGGGGAGCGAGGGTGGCGGTGTCGGGTCCGGGCAGCGGGAAGGCCTCGGTCTCTTGGTTCCTATAAGGAGCTGCTGCGGGGCCGCGGGCGGGCGGGCGGGCGGGTCGGTCTCGGCTGCTTCACCGGTTATTTTATAAAAGAGGAACAAAAAAAAATAAAAGTCTCCGGCGGGGGAGACGCGGATTTTTTGTAAATTTTTTTTGGGTTTTTTAAAAGGTTTTTTTATATTTTTTTTGGATTTTTTTAATAATAAATGTGTGTTCCGATCACGGAGCACACACTCCGCACTCTCAGCACTAACCGCCGGGGAGAAGGGGAAGCACCGCCTCCTGCACCCTGTACTTATACCCCCGCCGCACTCGCCCCGCCCCCGCGCGTCTGACGCCAGAGCCCTACGCGAGCGTCAGCGCCGGAGGAGGAGGAGAAAAGAAGCCAAAGGGGAGGAGGGAAGAGAAAACAGGAGGAGGAAAGAGCACAGAGGAAGGGAGAGGTGGCGGCTGCGCCTGCTGCGGGTGTCGGGGTGGGGCTGAGGAGGAGCGGGGCGGGGTTTCTGCGCAAGCGCCGCGGCCGGGGGGCGGGGCCCGCGCTGCGTAGGGCCTGTGCGGGAGGGGAGGGTCAGCTCGCGGGCGGTTCTCGGAGGAATCGGGTGAGATGGCCCCGCCTTCCACGCACCCCGCCCCCAACCTCCAGCCTGGAGAAGCGTTAACCCGTCACCGCGGCAGTGGGCGGTGCGCGGAGCTTCCGGGTTCGTTAGAGCTAACTACCCTCCACGTGCGCGGCCGCCGCCGGGGCCTCTTCCCGCCGCGGCCCACCCAGCTCCGTTTCCCTCCGCCCCCGAAGGACGCCCGACACGAATGACCCGGCATAATCCCTTCTAGACCCAGTGTCCGAAACGTGCATAAAAAGAACTAGGGGTGCGCCTCATTTCTCCTACCCGGACCGCACTACGAGTCCCAGCGGGCAGCGCCGCCACCCGCGCCGGCCGCAGAAGCGGTGCCTGCTGGGAGGTGGAGTCCCTAACGGCAGCAGCGCTCGCTGACCCTAACTAGCCGCTGGTCCTGGTCACCCGCTCGGGCACCCAACCGTGTTGGGCTCCGGCCTCCCGTCCCCGCCCCGCGGTGTTTCCTATGGCGCGGGGTGGGGGGGAGAGGGTCCTTGGGTGCCTGGTCCTCTGGTTTCCCAGCCTACTAAGACTCTTTCTCTCCACTGGACAGTCATTGATGACAGTGGCTTTAATTTGGGAAAACTGTTTGGGGTTTTTGTCCGCTTTCCTTTTTTGAAAGTTGGGGCTACTTATTACCCTAAGGTGCTAGGTTGGAATCGTTGATTCGTGCTGTTTCTGCCAGACAGCATTTCTTTGAGGTATAAAACAGGACTCGAGAAACATGTTTCTCCTTAAGTATGAGTTTTTCACAGTCATTCTTACATGACACCACAGACCTGCTAGCAGGCAAAATTAAGAGGGGTCTAAAGCAACGCAGTATTACAAAGATTTAAAGCAATTTTGTGTATTACAATTGTGGCTTTGGTAGGAATGCTATATTGAAATTGATGGCCATAAAAATAGCAATTATACGAATGACATTAAGTCGACGTACAAATTCCCACTTTAAAGTAGTAATGTACTTTACAGTTTTTAGAGCACTTGCATAAACATCCTATCATTTGTTCCTGACAGCAATCCTGTGTGGGAGGTGGAGCAAGTAATAATTTCATTTTATTGTTAAGGGAACAGCCTCAAAGAAGTTAAATGGTTGCCCTTCTTTAATTCAGTAAACCTTAATACATGCCAGCTATATTGCCAGGTGTGTGCTAGGTACTTTACATGTGTTGTCAAAATTTAAATCAGCAGAATACCACGTAAGTGCTATTTTGCCCCTAAGTAGGAGGAGGATAGTTTAAAAAAAAAAAAAAATGGCCTCATGTACTTTACAAGGCAAAAGAGCAAAACTTAGAACTGCATTAGAAAGACACATTTATTACCAAATAGTAAATCAGTCTTCAATCTATTAGAACTATCTGGTTAAAATCAATCCATCAATATGTTTGTTGAATGCACACTAAATGGAGAGTATTGTATGTGAATGTATAGGAAGATAGATGACAAATTCCTGTCCTCAAGAGGTTTATGATGAGCTCTCTAGTAACCATATAAATATAAGCATTAAAATCAGTGCAGTAAACGTCCAATTCTAGCATTTTATTAGACCATGACGATTTTCTATTACATTCTAAAACTTTTATTAAAAATACAAACCAAAGCCATTGCCATCAAGTCGATTCCCACTCATAGTCAAAATCCTACCCTATAGGACAGCGTAGAACTGCCCCATAGAGTTTCTAAAGAGCTGCTGGTGGATTGGAACTGCTGACCTTTTGGTTTGTTAGCAGTAACAAAGGATGAAGGGAGATCACTTCCAATAACTGGGAAGTGAGATTACAAGAGTTAAAACTACAAGAACCACACATATTTACTTAGATTATCTATGCAGGGAATTTTTCATACACTTCTGGTAGAGGAAGATGAAGGTACAGTTTCTGGTGGGTCTCACTAGAACATAGTTGTAAAAAACAAAGATGAAGAAAATAGTCTGGAGTCTATAAAACTTTGTAAGAAAGCAAGAGTTTGGCAAGCATTGTCTAGGGTGAATTTGAATACTCCAGTCACTATAGATGTTTTACCCTCAGGTTTCACTAGAGCTTGGATTAAATAATTCTCAAAAGACTTCCCTTTGTTTTGAATTCATTTGGAACAAGCAACCCTCCCTTTGATAAGCCCATTTAGCCCTTTTGTGATCCGAGTATTTTTTCCTGGTATGTTTTTGTTGCTACTGTGTGTTTTCAGTAATGGAGGGCATGCTGAATCATTGAGTGTGTCTGAATTTTTGGTAGGCAATACAGTTTTTGTTTTATGCCTCATTCCAGAAATTGTACCCTTGGAGTCCAGAGGTACATATATGTACCCTTTGTGAATACAAATTCTGCTCCCAGAGACCAGAGGTGCATATGTGTACCAAAGAAAAATTTTCAAAATTCATGTTTTTCTTAACAAAAATTCAATGATTCAGCACCACCTCAAACAATACCCTGTAAAAACTGTAATTTGTGGCGCGCGCCTGTTTTTTCTGTTTCAAACCAATGATTCCTCTCCTGTTTGACAAATGCAGTGGACTTTTTTCAGATCCATCTTCCTTGACTTCTGCACAATTTAACCCGGTTTTCCTCTCTCTCTTTCTTAACACACTCGCTTGGCTTCTAGACTTCTGGGCTTCAACTGTCTTGGTTCCCTTCTAACCGTCAGACTATTCCTCCTCTCCCTCAGTAACCCTTCCCTGACCACCAGACTGGGTGGGGTACAATTCCTTTGGGCTTTTCCCAGACCACCCCTCCACCACTGTATTTACTATATTAAATTAAAATAGTCTATCTATGAGCTGTTTCCCAAAATAAGTTGTAAGATCCAAAAGAGAGCCTGTCATCATATATATCTGTAGCCCTATTACCTAACATAAAGCCCGGCATGTTAGAAAGGAATTTTTTTTTTACCTAACAGATTAGAGGCAAGGTTTCAGGGAGAAGGCCAGGCTTGTGGACTGACCACACAGGAAGGGGGCTAGTAGGGAGGTCTCAACCTAATTTTTGCAGGGGCAGCTAGGATTGTTCACCTCCAGACCATGTGGACTGCCGCAGCAGGCTATTTTCAAACTCCACTGGCTATTGCTGGAGTGTTTCCTAACCTACTGGCGGGGCTCTCATTTCCGGTGCTGAGTGTGGAGGTAGTAAACTTTTAGTACCCAAAGTCAGGCAAGCAAGGGCAAGCAAGGATTGCTGGACAAAAGGAGTTTCTGGACCTCCAAAGCTGAGGACACTGTATGATGGCGATTCCACTAAAATTTTGACACTCTTCAGGGGCTCTTAGACAACTTCCCTCTTTGACTTTTATTAACAGTATGATTGCTTCCAGCTAGTTTTTTAAAAGTCTGATAGAACTAATTAGGTTACAAATAAAAGGCAGAAAAGGGAATGTTTGTCAATTCCCTTTGCCTTTTTGATTCTCTACTCTGATTTTTCTTTCCCATCAATTTCTTTTTGGTCTTTAAAAAATGTGCTCTCTATGTCTGTCTGGCTTGCCTGCGTTTATCTAATTTTAGATTGCAAGCTGTGGGACAGAATAATGTCATTATATGTGTGGTATCTCACTGTGGTGCCTAAGAATGTCTAATGACATCAACATCATTGAATTAACCTGTTCTTATCTTAGTGAATAGATTGTAAAGTTTTCTAAAGAATTTGTTCACTTGAACGTCTCTAGAGATTTATAAATAATTTCCAGGCTATATCCAGGATATATTTAGAATATATCCAGAATAATTTATAGTATCTTGTGTAATGTAAGACAAATTAAAGTTGACAAGCTTTATGAGGTGGGAGAAAGATGTGGCAATCTACTTCTGTAAAGATTATAGCCCTGGAAACCCTATGGAGTAGTTCTGCTCTGTCCTATAGGGTTGCTCTGAATTGGAATTGACTCAGTGGCAATGGGTATAGCTTTATGAGGATTTTAGGTAATTGTAATGGATTGAATTGGTGTCCTCCCAAAATATATGTTGTAAATCCTAATCCCTGTACTTGTGGTTAAGAGCCCGGCTGCTAACTAAAAGGTCAGCAGCTCGAATCCACCAGCCGCTCCTTGGAAACCCTATGGGGGCAGTTCCACCTTGTCCAATAGGGTGGCTATGAGTCAGAATCAACTGACTAAAGGAGGCTAAGTGGGGACGAAGAAGGGTGGGGGGTGGGAAAGCCTATATCGTGGGTTACCGGTTGCTCTGTCTCCTGCTGGAAGCTCTGTGAAGCTGCTTTCTCATACCTCCTGTTTGCTGATCTCAGATAGGAGTCCAAGATGGCGGATCTGTGCTGCGGTAGCTAATAGGGGACCTCTGCACGTATCTCTCCTGGTGCTCTGTTCTCAGTCAGTTTCTTATTCCATTAGGTGCTTGGCTGAGTTCTTTATCTCTTTATTTGCTGCTTAGGGTTTTGGGATTGACGTGTGACTCTAACTTAGTTTTTCTGATCTTTGCTGCGGAGGGAGAGAGTGGTGCTTCTGACTATAGTGCCATGTTGCCTGGAAGTCAAGAATCCAACATTTTTTAGAATGATAATTGAATGTTTCAATGACTTATAAAAAAAGGAAATAAATTAAAATTTGGCTGAAGGATAAAAAAATTGAAGTAGGAGTGATGTAATGTAAGAACTAAATTAAAAGTATTAATATAAACTAATAACATTTAATATGTCTTTTCTAGCTCTCTGTAATGAAATGGCCAAGG